CTACTGTATCGCCATCACGACTTCTACAAGCTAGCACCTTTCTCACTTCGGGCGACATGCAATATTGCGCATCGAAGCCTAGGGCTCAGCAAATTGGTCCGACCTTCACACTCTCCATGTACATGTTGTTCGCTGGTTACGCGCATCGAGCTCATGAAGAAGACGTGCGAGAGACAACATGGAAGGAGGTCATGCATAAGGCGCGTGTTACACTGATGCGAGTTCCACTGGACAATGTCTATGACTATCCGACGCCCTTTGGGCAGGACAGTCGACGCGCTGATGAGGCTAACCACCGTCACATCCCATCCGACAGCGTATTGCAGGAGTTTGCTTACCAGCTGCTCATTGTTGAAGATTTGGACGACGGTCGTATGCATGAATTCGAAGACGGCGAACCCCAGCCAGGACCATATGACGGTGTCGAGCAAGCAGGCGTACGTGAGATCATACCCATACATGAAGTGTCCAAGATCTTCTACGCCGACACGGGCAAGATACTGAACATCGGTTCCGACAACGAAAGCAACAACCCCATCTTGCTGCTCAAGCGAGACGTTAATGCAGCACCGCCACGCCGCATGATGGAGCGCGATACCGAGGAGCCCGGCTATGAGTCGGACGACTCACATACCGTTGCTGAAGATGAAGAAGATCCAGAGCAAACAGAGTTGGAAGAGCAATTGCGACGCGAGTCGACACCGCACCTTGAAGAGCCCACCCAACAAGAGCCCACCCCGCAAGAGCCCGAACAGTCCACATACCCCTGGCGACTACCTCCAACGCTGGACTTGGAGTGGATGGCCTTTGAAGTATACACCGAAGACCCCACCACCGACTCCGAGATCGACGAAACAGAAGACCTCACTGAAGACGTTTCTCCCCCATCCCCAGCAGCCACACCTACACCACCCGACTTCCTCGGCCGCTTCTCCAACCTCAATCTCCGACCTAGCACACCCACCTCCCCACAACCGAATTCCAGCAACCAGATGATTCCCTCGCCGCAGAAGGCTTCTGCGCCCACTCCACAACATCAGCAACAAGCCCCGACATCCCTCCCTGCTATCAAAACCTCGCTGTCTCTTCTGGAAATGCTCATCCGCTTGACCGCTCTCCAGCAGTTCCAGCAATCATCCCATCTCGCCATTCCAGATGAGTTCCTCAACTTCTTCCTCTCGGATAGCAGTACAGTGGGCGCCGGTGGTGATGCTGAGTTACGACGACGAGTGAGGAGAGAAGCGAGAATGAGAGTCGGCTTCGATCCCTACGACGAGAGTCCGATCAAAAGGAGAGGAGAAGAATACCTAGAGCATGAGTTACACGAACATGGCCATGACCAAGTACACGACCACGACCGCGATGGATGGACAGATACATCAACTGCGAACGACGGTAGGGGTTACGATTACGACAGCTATCCCATTGGTCAGCGCGGTTCATCGCCGTACTCGCGGTCACGTGGCGGTACACCAACTCCGTCCAATTCTACGCCTATGCCTTCTTCAGATCACCGCTCGAGATCATCTGCCGATATCTCGTTCTCGGGAAGACATAGTCTGGGTAACGTCTCCTCGCCAAGCCCTCTCCTCAGACGAGCAACCACACAACCGGGTCAGCACCTCAATCAGATGAAACAGCCCAACTTCTCGCGGAGGTCAAGTAATAACACAGCGATACCGCGTACGGGGAGTGTGCCGCCTGATACTCCGCCTAGTAGTGTGGCTAGGCTGGGTTAGAAGTGCTCGAGACTTATGAGACGACGATTACGATGACAGAAGAGTATCATGGGCGAATGTGTGCAGATCGTTTCATATTCAGATCAAAAAGAGGGAGCGATTTCCAGCATCAGAATGGCGTTCTAGATACCACTTGTTTTTCGTTCACAGAATGCACCTTCAATTAAGTATGACTTAGCGTAGCATAGCGAGCGAGTACTCCTCACTCAATCATCTTCCATAGAATAGCAAAAAGTAAGATAATGTCAGATAACTTTACTGTCCTATCAAGATACCCATCATCCTATCTCATACCCATCAAACCAACACACAACAAATGAACGAAAAAACAACACCAGATTCCCCGAAAACGCCATTCATATTCACATGTTCATTCCTAGTTCATCCGGACACATCCTACTCCCAGTCCTCCTCCTCATCACTCTCCTCAGCCACAACCTTCTTCTTCCCATCCTTCCCATCCTTTCCCTCCTGCGGACTCCCCGGCGCCCTCGTCGTAGTCCCAGAAACTAAATCATAACTCGCGTCGCTATCCGCGACACTTTTCTCATCGTTTGATCGGCGGGGTTGCGCAGGTGCGGGCTTAGCGTCGTCTGTGGGTTTGAGGGTTTTGACGGAGGCCGCGAGGTCGGTTGGGGGTTTGGTTGTGCTGGTTGTTGTGCTGGTTGAGGAGACTGGTTTTGTGGTTGTGGTTGTGGTAGATGGGGCGGTGGCGGTGGTGGATTTAGTTGTAGGTTTAGTAACGGTGGCGTTGTCGTCGGAGTCGTCGTCTGAGTCGTCTTCTTCGGAGGAATCGTCTTCGTCGTCATCTTCTTCTTCGTCTTCGTCATCGTCGTCTTCTTCTTCCGAGTCTTCGTCCCAGGCTACTTCTTCGTCGGCGGCGGGTGTGGATGCTGTTTACATGTTAGCTTCACCACCCCATTTCAGAGCAAAAGATGCAACTCACCCTTGAGCATCTCCCTCCTCCTCTGCTCCTCACTCTCAATAACATGGCGCAAGAAGTAATATCTGCACCAAAACACCTTATACTCCACCTTCTCCGGCACACACTTCTCCATCGCACTCCTCAACTCCTCGTGCTTCTCCAAATCCTTGGCAATAGCCTCCGTCTTCTTCTCCACATCAAAGCCCGCCTTCCAGTTCTCCCACTCCGGGCTCGCGGGGTCTTTCAGGAAGGAATCGAGCGTCGAGTGGATGACGTGGAGTTGGGCGTCGAAGCGCGTGGCGTGAACGACCTTCTTGCCGCTGCTGTCTTTGCTTTCGAATAGCACGTCGCCGTCTTTGGCGGCTTGCGAACCGGCTTCGGGAGGCGCGATGGTGACGGCGTCGCGGAGGAAGTTGCGGATGTTGCTGCCGAATTTGAGGAGCGCTTCGTCGGCGGCGTCTTCGGCTTTTTCGACGTCTTTGAGCCGTTTTGCGGCTTCGGAGCGGAAGCGCGATAGTATGCCTTCTGCCTCCTTTACAATGTCTGCGGTCAGGGATTCGGGTCGGTCGGGGTGGGCTTCTGTGTCTTCGGTCGCTTTCTCGGTGGCAGCGTCTTGGGAGGTGGACGCGGATTTGGAGCTCGAGGCGTCGCCGGGTTGGAGGGAGATCTTGCGCGCGTGGCTGATGATGTTGGAGACGCTGGCGGAGGCGTTCTTGACCTGTGGCGCATATTGCTTGCTTGCGTTGTCGTAGTATTGCTCGCCCTACACCGCACATGGTCAGGAAGGGTAGCTTGGATCCCACACGCCTGTCTTACCTGCTTCCGCACATTGCCTAGAAACCCTCCCAAACGCGCCGCCCATGGGCTGCTCGATATAGCTTTGTAAGCATCCTGGAACTCGGCGTTGAAGTTGTTGGTCGTCTCCTGGTGGGTGTTATCTCCGCCGGCGGACTGCTTGGTGGGGTCCTGCGGGTAGCTCTCCTCCTGGATGTGATCGTAGGCGGAATCCATAGCTACGACTGTCCAGAAGGGAGGCGAGGTGTAGGGGAGGTTGTGTATAGGGTGGGGGCTAAGGATGTTGTTGTGGTCGTGAGACACAGGCTGGTTGGGTCAATCAAGGGTGCAGGTCAAATGCGGGCGGGGCCATGCATGAAGCTCCGCAATTGCCGCTAGCAGTTGGGCGGACATCACCAGCTCAGGCACGCTCGCGTTACACAAACGATGGTCGGGACTGTTGACGCGACGATAGTGAATTCATTTTGAATCTGAACTTCCTCTTCTGATGTGCTCAAAGGTGGTCATCACACCGGCCTAATGGCGTCGCCACTTGCTGCTGATGTGCGCGCTCGCTGCTCGCTGCTCGGTGTCTGTTGTGTGCACCCATAGATGGGGATCTATGTAGTGGCCACCCACATCATCCATAACACTTCGACTGCCTCAGCTGGCTTGGTATCGCTGCTCATCGTTCCTCGCCCCTCCGCTTCACCTCTTCTTCTTGCTAACCACCGTCTCAAAGCCATCCTCATCAATCTCAGGCTCAGGCTTAGCCTTCGATTTCGCAGGCACAAGCGCAGGCGCATCATCCATATCGACGTCCTCGTCTTCATCCGTCTCCTCATCCACACTATCCCCCTCAAAATCCTGATTCGTCTCCTTGACATTAACACTCCCAGTCGCAACCTCCTTGCCCTTCCTATCTTCCCACTTCTTCTGTAGCGCATCCACCATCGCTGTGTTGCCCTCGCCAATCTCCTTCCGTATCGCCATGATCTCGCGCGCAACAGCGACTTCGGTCTCGTCTTCTACGCGCACGCCGAATTCGTCCTCGAGGACTTGTAGTAGGACGACTTCCACATCTTCTTGGTCTGTGAGGGGCTCTGCGGCGAAGAGTTCGGAAATTTGGCCTGCGAGCCAGTCGCGCTTATCCGAGGAGTCGGGGCCGCCCCATTGGTTTTGGACGGCGACGGTGAGGTTGTTCCAGTTGAAGAGCGCGTGCCAGATTCCGAGGTCGAATTTGTCCTGGTGTTGCTCTGCGGGGAACGTTAGAAAATGAGTGTGTAAATCGGCGCGACTACTCACCTGCGATTGGGCCGAATGCTGAAGTCATTTTGGGTTGTGTTGCTGAGGGAATCGCTGAGCGTGGGTTTGCGTGACGGAATATCGATAATTTTGCCCGTTATCGATAGCGCCCCGCCATTATTTCATCACGCACACGTGAAGACGCGACATCGCGTTTCGCCACACCTGGGCAGTCAATGCAGGTTATCAGCGTCGCATTTGCTTTTTGCAGGTGAATCTGCATATCCGACGTGATGCGTCTGATATTGGGTGTGGTCTCATGATTTCCTCACCAACCACTCCAATTCCTTCGCCTGTTCATCCGTAACAATCTGCTTGAACTTGTCCATCGTCAAGAAGTCATGATCCGAGAACTCAAAGCCGGGTATTACAGTCTGAAAAGTCGCGTTAGTCAGAAATACGTGGTCAACGATCATGTGTGAAAGCACATACCTCACTAATCAACAACCTCTTCCCTTCCGCTCCGTCAAGCAGGAAACTCGCCTTATACTTTCCGCCCTCAACAATCCACACACTCTTCTCTCCTTTCGTGACGTCGGTCCCAACAACGAACGTTTCGATGCGTTTCTTAGTGCCAGGCTCATCGGCGTGGATCAGGACGTAACGACCTCGGCCTGAGATGAGGGTGTGCACCTTCATATGGCAGTTAGTATCGGTAATATGTTTCAACCACCGCACGCATGTCAAGCGGTGGATGATAGGGTTATTCCAGCAACAACGATACAGGGCAGGGCCGCAAGACGCGGCCAGGCAAGTTGACACAATAACCTTAATGAAGGTACAGTCCCCAACGCCTTGCATTTGCCGCGCACAGGTGTAGGCAATGATGGTCGGGTCATACGTACAGTTCTCCCCTTATTCCGATGAAAGTGTCCCTGCGGATTCACTGCACTCAACATATAGTATATGCTCGTGCTCGCGTTCCTGATCGCATTGTCACCTGACATGGGTTTCTCCGCTGTATTCTTCACATCCGCTTCTTCATCGCCTCCATTCTTTGCCAAGAAAGGGTTGGGAATTGTAAGCGGATTACGATCGATTTCCGCATAGTAGCCGCCTTCGACGTGTACTTGGAGATTGAGGGCTGAGATGACGGCTTGGGTGCTGGCGGGCTCGGTGCCGGAGGGGTTGGGGGTGTAGATTTGGGCTATCTTCTCTGTGATGGAAGAATTGGGCGACATCTTGGTTGTGGGATGATTAGCTGGCTCGGTGTGGATGGGATGGGATACGTGAGGCTCGGTGTTGGTGATCGATGACGTTATCGCCGCTAGTCGCTGATAAGATGGGCAGGAAGTCGCGCTGCAACCCTCAGACAACATCGACGCGTCCACGTCGTTCACTTCGATCACCCCAACACCGCGCGACGGCATCCAACTTCAGCGCAAGATCTGACACCAATAAAATGGCGCACTCTTCGACGGTGGCGTCCACTGCACCCGAAGTCAACGGCATGTATGCACGCTTCGGTGTACAAGCCCTTCTGATCCAATCATCGAATGCTAAATCGGATGAGTACAGCCTTGGTTAATTTGCGACGACATACTTTCCCTATGCATGCTATCGGATGGTGGGTGGACGGCCAATGATGTCGAGGTAGGCCCCCGCATACATGCTTCATGCGGCACAGTCGCTGCAAGGCTGTATTGCATCTTGCCACTTCCTCTCCAGTCCCCTTTCTTCCTACTCACACCTCCATCAAGGAAGAAACTGAACAGGCTTGCGGACTACATTAAGTCAAAAATCTGCAAAGTGGGTGACCTAACGTCAACGTAGGCTCCAGGGTGTTCAGTTTTTTTCTAGGTTGGCGTGCTCACCTTTAGTTCCTTCCGCTACTATGGGGTGTTGTAACATATTCAAGCTTCCACGTCGAAAGCAGCGAGAGAAACCTGGAACACCGATACCGCCGGTTCCTGTGCCGATCAGTGACGACTCACAAGAGAAGCGGAGCGAGGAGCGGAGCGAGGAGCGGCCGAAAAGTTCCGTCACGACTGATCTTCATTCTAAGAGCACCGGGACTCCGGAACCCGCAGCGCAGAGCGTACCCGGACGTCTCTGGAATCTGGCCTATGATCAGCTCAAAGCGAAGAACCCCAGATTGATCGAACACTATGAGGTTATACTCTCAAGTAGACTCGACGATCGAGCGCTCGATGCAACAGACGTTGACCTTCAGACCAATAAGATTAGCTCGGGGCTTCACAGATCGCTTCAAATGCAACAGCTTGTCGATACCAGTTTGGAAAGAACAGAGAAGGAAGCTGCCACCAAAGAAGCAGTCGCGCAAGGCCTGCAGATATTCGCTGTTGTCAAGGATAGCGTCGCAACAGCTACCAGAGCCTCACCAGAAGCTTCCGTGGCCTGGGTACCGATCTGCTTTGCTCTTGACGTATGGCTGGCGAACTTTGATGATGTGAGCAGGTGGCTGATCCTATGCAGATACTTTTGAACCCGCTCACTCAAGCTTCTTCAAATAGAGAAGGAATCGCCTACGTCGTGTCGAGAATGGACTGGTACTGGCACCTAGCCGATCTTCTCCTAGAGAACAATCAAGAAGTACAACGATCACAGCCTCTGCAAGAGCAACTTGAGAAGAGTCTCGTGGAACTTTACGCCAGTCTCCTGGAATACCAGATAAAGAGCATAATCACGTACCATCGGCGACGTGGCATCGTCTTCGCAAGGGACCTTATCAAGTGGGATGACTGGGAAGGCGAGCTGGCAGCGATCAAGGACACGGAAGAGTCAATACGGCAAGACGCAGCGCAATTCAACACGCTTGAGATTCGCGATCAACTTCAGACTATCGCCAAGAAGGCCGAATCACAGGATACCAGCTTGCATAACATCGTGTCTAGTATCCAAGAGCAGACAAGGCGCGCTGTGGAAGATACGAAGACTGCTGCGGACAACGCATGTCTTCGTGACTTGTATTTGACCAATCCCAGCGACGACAAGAAACGTCTGGAAGATGCGAAAGGGGGTTTACTAGATGGCTCTTTTCGATGGATTCTGGACAACGCGATCTATCAGCGGTGGTGCGAAGACCCTGATACGCGACTCTTATGGATTGAAGGGTAAGTTGAGAGTGATCCGCGATCCTATGGTTAGGAAAGGCGCTAATGCCATCCAGCGCACCTGGTCAGGGCAAGACCATGCTTATGTGCGGAATCATCGGCGTTCTGAATCGAACGGTACTAGATGCTGATTTACTATCGTTCTTCTTTTGTCAGAATTCGGAGCCACGCAACAACGATGCCAGTGCAGTCTTGCGTGGTCTCATTCACCATCTCATCAGTCAACGATTATCGCTTATACGCCATGTACGACTGGAGTATGATCATGCGGGCCAAAACTTATTCACCGACAAGAACTCATGGATGGCTCTATCCAGGATTCTTACCAACATGCTAGACGACTGGGATATACGCCAGTCCAACATCTACCTCATGGTAGACGCTGTTGATGAATGCGTCGTGTCCGAAGATCGCAAAAGGCTTCTGGAGTTGATTGTGCAGCTTTCCAGAAAGCTTCCACACGTCAAGTGGATCATCTCTTCACGCGGCTGGAACGACATTCGCGATGTGCTTGCCGATCATCGCCCCATGCTTCGCCTTGCACTAAATCCTAAATCTGAAGTAACCCTGGAGGCGATCAACACCTACATCGAGTATAAAGTTAGGGTTTTGGCTAAGAAGAAGAGATTGGATCCGTCGAACGAAGCAGCTATCCGGGACTACTTGATTGACAATGCCGGAGGGACATTCTTGTGGGTAGCCTTGGTCTGCCAGAAGCTCGAAGGCCATACGGGCGTACGTTATAAAGAGATCATGCAAGCCTTTCCCCCTGGGCTTAAAGAGCTGTACAAGAGGATGCTCCAGCAGATTGAGTGCTTGGACGAGCCCGAAGCAAATCTCTGCAAGTTCGTACTCTCGGTTGTAACAATAGCCGTCCGACCTCTGCATCTTTCAGAACTAGCAAGCCTTTTGAAGGAGCTCGACCATATCGCTGATAAAGAAGCGGAATCAAGGGATATACTCGGCGCCTGTGGATCGTTCTTGTCGCTCCACAATGGGAGGGTCGTCTTCGTCCACCAGTCGGCGAAAGACTATCTCACAGGTGACGCTCGCAAGATCGTATTCCCAAAAGGACAAAAGGTCATTCACGCTGCTATAGTAGCTCGGTCCATGGAGTTGCTATCACAGTTTTATCAGAAACCGTATCGACGAGGGGAAACATACGGTGGAATCCATCTTATCTACCTCGCGTGTTATTGGCCATCTCATGCCATACGCAGCAAAGATAAGATCACGGCTCATCTATACTCTGGCCAAGGACCCGTTTGCACATTCTTACGACAGCACGAGCAGCGATGGCTTGATGAAGTAGGTCCAGAGACAGGACGTCAGGAGGCTGCGGATCTTTGGACAGAATTCCTGAACAAGGTGAGTTCAAATAAGGCCTGTGGATCAGCCATCTTCTAACTCGTCGTAGAACGAATATCCCGAGTTTAACGACATAGTCTTCAGAATGTGGTGCAAATTGCCAGATTAGTGAAGCGCTGCGTCACCCATGTAATGTCACCAGCTGATCTCTGGTTTTCTTTTCCGCATCTTCTCTACTCCTACTGCTCATTGTCTCCAGCCAACGAAGCTTCCTCCCCAAGTCCTCCCTGATCTTCAGGCTCGATGTCACTTGACGTCACCGCAGATGCCAGTCCACCACTAGCGGCAGACTCCTCTCCTTCACCCTGCGGTAGATTCCGGAAGTAATCAAGAGCGGACTTGACATCTCCAGCCGAAAGCGCCTTGTGCCCGTTTGTGCCTGCTTTCCTGTTGGTCCAGTTTTCCTTAATCTTCGCCCACGCTGCATCTTTCCGCTGCATTCGAGTTATCTTGGCTAGCTCGTAGAGCAGCTCATTGACCTCACCATTTCGTTTCTTTCCGTAACTTTTCAACTCCCGACCTCGAATTGTCTTCTTGTTGTTATGTCTTTGGAGCATTTCTTCGGGAATCAGGACCCTGCAGTCTCGTTCTTGCCAGTAATGATTGATCCAGAGGTTCCACTTCTTGATTTTGACGTCTTGGCTATCCGTGGGGAGTATATCAGCTGGAAGAGCATCTGGGTCGTCATCTTGCTGATTGATGGTTGCAACGGTCGTGTCTAGTGTGGCAGCTACTCCAGAAGTCTCACCGGATTTGATGGTGTCATCTACGTCGTCTGTATCAGCAGCCAGATCGACCACATCGTCATCATCAGATGTGAGCTCAGCTATATCTGCTTCTGCACACATTAGCTCTTTTTGCGACTTCGAACGTTGTATGAGATATGAACATACCGTCATCATCCGTAGTTGTGTCAATCATCTTCTGCTTTCCCTTGTTATATCTCTGCTCTCGAACATACGATATGTCGCTCAGCTGTATCTCTGCTGATAAAGTGTTCGAACTGTCTTCTAACCTCTCTTTGTTGCCCTCTACAAGTAGATCGTAGACGCTGTTCCAGTTGTCGATACCGGGCATTTCGTCGGCGAGCTCACCCAAGGCCCGCAAGATCTCAATGGGCCACCACTGAAGGTCTTTCGGGTAGCGCATAGATGAAGGAATACATGCAGTGCTTTTGGTAGTGGTTTCCCATTGAGATGTGATCTTCTTCTCGAGATCCAGTCGCTCTTGACGGTCGGGATGCTCTTTTGGTAGATACATGGTGCTATTGACAGTGTATGAGGATTTTGATACTGACAGGAGAGCGTTCCTACTACTGATATAGATGGGTAAGATGGCAGAATTCTATTTGCTACTGTCACGCGGGATAATGCAAAAGACTGTGACTACCTGAGAAGACAACAAGCATCCGTGGTTACGTATCACATCTCTTTTGATCAAGGAACGTGACCGCCGGGGCTTTGACAATGAAATCATGATTCCCTAAGTCGTCGCACAAACTTCCGCAATCCCTACAACCAATCCGATCCATAGTACTCATCCGAATCCTCGAGCGGTTCCTCGTCTGTAGTGGTAGCTTCTTCGCTATCATCAGCAGGATCTCCTTTCAGCCATTGATCTAGTCTCTTTATCTGCTTCCGCGAGACAACAAAACGTTCCTCATACGCCGCCCGAACTACGGTTCTTGTTCTTGACTTAAACGTCGCGGGATGGGATAACACGAACAACACTGCGTTGTACGCCTTGTCGCCATTCATTTTATCATCCTCAAATTCGCCCAGCAGGATGAGATACAGCAACCTGAAAGCAGCGTCGCGTGCTCTCGACTTAACACCCTTGGTATCTTCATCCTCTGGGTCCCAATCTATCCTGCAGAGCCTCAGATCGCTAAAGATCTGGTCGATACGTCGTTTGTCGAGGACATTAATGCCGAGAAACTCGTATGTTTCGCATAGAACGTGGTACTGTTGAAGTTCGGGGGGAAGATTCCTGAAGCATTGTCGATAACCTGATTGAATGCCCTTCAAAGCTACGTCGAAAAGAGGTATTGGGCCGTGGACCAATTCGGTGGCGTCCGGCTGGGCTTTGGCTTGGAAGTCGGCAAAGGACGACAGGTAAGGTATTTGCGAGAGGTCGACATCGTATTTGACATCTCCGATCGTGACAAGAGTATCTTTGGGTGTAGTATCCACTTCTGAAAGTGTATGCTGCGGAGTTACAGCATAGCATCAGTCTCGTCCGCTTCTTTGAGGTCCAAAATTGTTTACCTGAGTTGGTGTATGCGTATTTGGGGCGGGATTCTCGCTCGTCATTCTGAAGCTGAGGCGGTTGGGGTTTTGGCAAGAGCGAAACAGCGAATAATGCGGGGTAACTCGCTTCCAACCCCCAAACTTGCGCTTCGTTGGAGAAAACAGCTCATAGAGGCTTCGAGTTGGTCATGTTCGTACTCTTACCGCTGTGCGACATTGGATCTGCAGTGTGCTACACGTCTATTGGCACATATCGGGATCGGTTAAGCCCCACTCGCCATTGAGGCACAGTAATAAACAACTTAGAATGCTACAATTACACGTGACAGTCGCAGGCACCGCTATTTATGTCATGTACTAGCCTGAGACATGATTTGCAGTATGTCTTATCTACATTACTTCAACTTCTTGTCTAATCCCCGACGTCCTCATCTTGCGGTGCGTTCTCTGTCTCAGATAACACGGCTTAGTTTTCTGGCAATTTGAGAATCTCCTCTGGCTCCAGCTCATCGTGCTCCTGTTTCGCATGCTCACGCTCATCTTTTCCGTCATCACCCGTCTTGCGGCCTTCCTCAACAACATCTGTCTCATCTCCGTCTAGTGAATACCGTCTCTTCCTCTTTAGCGGTAAGGTCGATGCTCCACGCGCACCTTCTGAGCTCGAGGCGGCCTCGTCAACCGTAGCGTCGTGGGTCGCTATGCTCGTGCGGTCGTTGTCACGTCTTACCATGACTGACGAGCGTCGGCTGCGAGCCATCGAGAGTCCCGCCTCTGCGACGTCCACGTCGGACAGTAGCGTTTGGTGATCAGCACTGTCGTGGGCGTCGGGTTCGGTGGCTCGAGATTCGCGTCGTCGTCTTTTCCGCTGCCTTCCATCGCGATGCTGGATTCCCCGCTGGGTGTTCATCGCGCCATCCTGACCCTCCTCGCCGGTAGTGCCGTCGGGGTTTGAAGGTGCAATAGGTAATTGTTTTCGACTGTTGGTAACAGAGTCTTCGTCTTCTTCTTCTTCACGTAGGTCACGGAAGTAATCAAGAGCGACTTTGACGTCTGATTCTGCAAACGCTTTGCCTCCTCTTGCCTTCCACGCCTCTTCCATCTGCGCCCATGCTGCATCCTTTCGACCTTTTGTGATGCGAGCTAACTGGTAAAGTACCTTCAACAGATCCTTGTGGTCGCTGGAGCTGTGCAGCGCCCGATTGGTCGGCTTTCCAAATTTGTCTAGCTGCCGCATCTTCGGGGGAACAAGGGCTTTGATATCAGTGACGTTCCAGTAGTATTGGATCCACAGATCTAACTTCAACTTCAAAGTCTCCGGCTCATCTTCATCTTCTGAAAGTATTCGTTCTGGACGCTGTTGGGGGGTTGCAACATCATTCTGGACTGAGGCGGCTCTGTCAATTCTTTGCTGTATGGTGGGATCTTTCGAAGGCTTGCCAGACTTGCTTGCAGCATCACTGTTCCCTTCAAGGTTGGAACTTTGATCGGCCTCGACCACACTCTCGCCCGCTGTTTCCAATTCAACGCTTTCCCGGACATGCTCCAGATCAGATAGCTGTAGCTGCGGTTCAAAAGTAGCCGACTGTTCTGCGGTTGCCTTCCTCTCCAGGTAGCCGGTGTTGAGGAGATTCACAAATCGGTCCCGTCCCTCCTCACCCGGCATCCTACGGGCTAGATAGGTTATGGCTCGTAAGATGGGTAGAGGCCAGGTGCCAATGAGTCCAGGGTATCGCATGTCCGCTGGGATGACGTCTGTGGGGTTTGCGACTTTCCATTGAGATTTGATGGTTCTGATCATGCTAAAGCGCTCGTCATGAAAGGAGAAATTAAAGACTAGTGGCATGGTGTTATCGGTATTACGTAGTCTCTGCGGTGCTCAACAGAGAATCTGGAGAGTGCAAATATATATGGCCGAGCTTTTCCGTTGCGTCGTTTGCTCTGCCGGTCGTGAACACGCTGGAAGGAAGTAGTCGTTCATAGATCTCACAGATGTTTCTAGCCTCGTCAGGCAATTGCTGCTACCCTTGCAGACTAAAGTCCCAAAGCAACGCACTATCAACATTCAAAGGAGTCTCCATGTTCAACACATCGCCCTCGTCGATCTTAGTACCCGGCTGACAACTCCCCATCAAATCCGCATCCGACCACGACGGAAAAGCACCAATCGAGCCAAACGGCTGCTGATACCCCGGTATCCCCGCATCCGTCCCAGGGCTCGAGCTCGTACCAAACTGAGACGACACAGTCGCAGAATCACTGCCCATCTCCTCCGCCATCGTGCGTGCACTCGTATCGCGTATCGCCTCATCCAGCATATCCGACAGATAGCGCGCAGCAAGAAACGCCATGTCTGATTTGCGACCCAGATACCAGAGACCCTCGATACAGTCCCGACATCTCCGTATCGCTTGATCGCGTTCCTCTTCGATGGTTTCCGACGCCACGACCTGCACCAAGACGTAGCCTGCTCTACATAACGAGCGCACGAAAGCCACAGTCCACGGCTCTGTCAACAGCGCGGCTTGGCTGAGCGCAAAGTGGAACTCATCCGTTCCTTCCTTTTCTTTTACGCTGTGTATGCTGGCAAGACTCAGGTCGGCGACTGCCAGTGCGTTCTGGCGGCGCAGCGTATCCACGAGGTTTGATGACTGACGGAGGGTGCGCTCGTTCGGGGAAGAGAGTTTCGTCTTGTCGATTGTGAGGAGTAAGTCGGAAAGCAGGAAGGTGGCCAGATGCCAGTGGCCTGCTATCAGTGTGTACCAGGATTGTACGCGTGTGGGGAGGGTGGCGTGGTGCTTTACGCAGTCGGAGAAGAAGGGCGCGTACGTGCGATGCCAGTGGTTGTAGACGTGGAATGCGCCGTTTATACCTGACTGCGCGTGAGATTGTCAGCTAGAGGCCACGAAGAAGGGAATGGCATATCTCTGTACTCACCTCAATCCTAGCTGGCGAAACCTTCCGCGATACCAACGCTTGGAGATGTGCGACGCGTCTGTATAGTAGTACTTTCACTGGTGCGGCGGAGCTGAGTGTTGCGGCGGCGACCTTGTAGCTACATGGCCATCGCGCCGCTCCAGGGTCCACTTCCAATGTGCCATCGCGTGTGAAGAGATCACCCCACACCGCATTGCCTTCCTGGGCCTGAGTCACTGGAGGCTCAGTGGGAAGGTTGGAAAGATGTGTCGGCATTGCGAATTGGTCCGTGTAAGTGGTAGGAGGGTTAGGCCACGTGAACGGCTCGGTATATGCGTCGTTGGTCGGAGGTGGTAGTTCGCTATCTTCATCGTCGACCACTACTGGTCGTTGGGAAATCGCTGCGGATAGGGTATCGAACATAACGCCAAACCAGTATAACAGATTGAAAGTATCTCGGTCCTCTTGCTGAAGAGGGTCTCGTCCCAGGTCTTGTTCCACGCGTTCCAGTCTCCGTCGTTGGGCGAGCAGCTGTCGCAAAGCTATCTCCAAGAATATGGGAGCGTCATCGTCCTGTACCAAGGCTTGGAAATGTTCGTAATGCGTTCTGAGCTTTGGATCCGTACGTGTATGCAGCTGAGTGGTGTCTAATGGCCGTTGGGTCAGCGAGAAGATGATCAAGGCAAAGATAACACGGAAAGAACCGATGTCAGCAGCCTGATGCAGCAGCTTAGCTGTTTGATGCCAGAGTGTCTCTTGCATGGATCGCTCAAACTCATTCGACTGAGGAAACCTGTCAGCCGTAAACTGGGGGTCAGTCGCACGACGTCCTGCCCCTCTTTCGCCCGCTTGAGCCCATTGTGACGCGAAAGACATAATGACCATGTTGAGCGCTTTTGAGATTGTACGTTCCTCCGCGTTTGTTGGTTTTCGTATGCGAAGGGATGCGTAGGCTCGATCAAGTTGAAGTACACGGTTGTACATTCTGTTTGACCAGGTACCACTCCATTCCCGTGTAGCCTTACTCGCCGAGAGGAGAGACGGCTTGTAGCGCGTCATCGTGTACGGGCAGTTGTGCTCTGTGAGCCAACATGAAAGAGAGTTTTCCATGCTGTCGTTGTAGATGCGCAATAGCCCGTTGGTCACAAACCCCCGAGACGTTCTCTCCCCCAACAGTATGTCCATGAATGGAGATGAGGCGTCGTCTCTCTGGCTTCGACGATGAGGACGCAGAGCGAAAGAGCTTCTCCGCGAGTATCGCGGCTGGAGCAATCCTTGCTCATTGTTCCTGCCCAACTGCACTGAGTCTAGATCCAGCGAATGTATCGATTCGTCGGATATGTTATCCACGTCGTCACTCGGCGGGTTGTTGAAGTAGTCCTCGCGCGTCTCGTCTTCGTCTTGAGACGATGACCACTGTGTGCCTCGATCTTGCAGTTCGTATTGAGCTTCGTTCGCGATGGTTCCAGGTGGTATTTGATACTGATAGCTGACAGAGCTACTTGCTGCATGTTGTTCGAGCTGATCGCTATCACTCTTCTCCTCTGAGCGCCTCCTCTTTCTCTCTCGCTCTGGGTGAGTCACCGATGCTGTCTTCAACCAGTTGAAGGTGCAAACTTGGTTCTTTCGAAGGCAGTTGGAGCATGTCTGGTTCGCAAAATCGACGCGTTTGTCTGCATCGCAAGCTCGTTTTCCGCGCTTGCATGAGTCGCAGCTGCGCATCTGTTGGCGGCGAGGGGGCTCGGGAGGTGCCGTAGGCTGTGGGACCGCGGATGATGGATTCGCTGGCGTCGCCGAATTGTCGGAACCCTTTGAATGAGGTTTACCTGTCACCTCACTCATAGTGCTGCTGTCAAACGTCTTCAACATCGTTGCGGTCCAAGTTTGTAAACAAAGGAGACGATGGAACCCTGGGGTGAAGATGGATAAATTGGCGATAGCCGTTCATAACACCTCAGTGTATACATGGTACCCGGTATGCGAATATTGCTAAGCGCGGACGCGTACAGGCCCTTGCCGCGACCCCGCTTTTTCGCATTCATCTTATCCCATGCGGAGGATCAGCTACGAGGATGAGAAGCCTCAAAACTCTTCTGGACGTCATAGTGAAGATCTCGTCCGTCTGAGTGGTGAAAAGCGTATTTGAGTTCCGTCACTTCCCGGCATGCATCAAACCATGGAATGTGACAGTCGTGCTTGAGAGCGCCTCGCGTGGGAAAGCTGAGGCAGGAGTGTCAGTGAATCGGTCCGCGCTGGCAGGTTGGGTTCTGGAAAAACGTCAACTAAATTGATAGAGTCTGCGCGATCCCCTTTCGGGACTAGTGTCCTTACGGCGTCTACTAACCGATCTCCGATTCCCACCACATCCCGACTTGCTTCATCTCACGTCAGTCCCTGCCGCAAAAGAATATAAGATCAGCTTCCACGTCGGTGTCCCCGGGTCTTGGTTACTTGGTACCTCGGCGACGTGCATTGTTCCAAGAGACGCGATGGTTCAACGTCCACGAAGGTAGGAGCTGCGCTCAACGACGCTTGCAACGCCCTTCTCCCAGCCGCACCGCCACCAAAGCACCGGGACGGAAGTCTAAAATGCAGTACATGCCGATCCGCTTGACATGTTGGCACGCATCACTCGAGACGTTTGTCATGCTCCATCCCTGCTGGCATTCACCAGCAAGGTACAGGACGAATCTCGGGAAAAGCGCTTGTCAGATCTGGCTCCACAGCAAGGATACCCTACCAAGTGACTCCGGAGAACAGGCGGATTTCATTCTGGAACGTTACTTCCACGGTGCAAGGCACGAGGAACCCGTTTGACACGCGTGGGGGTCGGGACATGGCCAGGATCTCTTGACGCATGTGAGACGATGATCATGGACAGATTGGTGTGGGATGGCATTGCGTAGCCGTATTGTAGCCGTATCAACGGGAACACTCTCGGACCTTTACAAAGTATCGCGCTCTTCCGCTGGCATAGAAGCGCGTTGTATGGGGCTCGTCACGAGGCGGACTGCAGCCCATCGGGTGATCGTATCGCGAACAGGCAGGTCATAAACATAATACCTGTGGACGATACTCCGTATTGTTCCAACTGAGACTTGGGCACTTGATACTGTTTCATCTTGAAAACCTTCTATACTCTCGGCTGTTCGCATGCGTCCCGTTGGATGATGTGTTAGTGTGCGGCTCCACGACCATGGCCTTTTATCCGATGCCCGTTGGTTAATTGTGGTGCGGCTCTGGTGATATCACTCCGACTCCGCGTGACCGCTATGGCTGCTATCTTCTTTTTCTCTGGACAAGAACGATGTAGGCAAAATTCCCTGTCTGCTACTCCTTGCATGGGCCATCACCTCGTATTGTCGGTAGGGGGCAGTAGATTTTGCTGTCAAGGCTTATTACCATCAGAAGAGTCGCCGGTTGAGGACTTTGAGCAGGCTCGTACAATTGCCGTGATAATCGGAAACTATGTATCTTCGCATCACGTCAAGTATAACGATACTAAGGTGTGTGACGGGTAGTATCGCGTGTAATAGTACCTATAAGACATAACAGAGTGTATGTTAACCTGGACGAATCGCTACCGCGATGGCGATCTCTTGGGCCAGACTGCATACTTCTGGACCTCGCTTACCCGGCTCGAATAACAAGTATGCTTCAGATATGCGTACCTGGACTTCTCTAACCTATATGCGTGCTTTAATTAAGATTTATCTATTTAAATATCTAGTCTGTAATCATGTTGCTTGCAGCTACATGCTGTTACAACTAAGAAAAGTCGCAAGTACAATTTGCTGCTTGCAGCTACTACACGCTCTGTATAAATTACGAGTAGTTCTTCTTACAAACAATTCGAGGAAATAAAGCCTTATTTAGACACTTTTAACCTGTAAAGAGACTTCTACGCTTCTCTTTTTAGCTACGAGATCT